GTGCAACAACATGGGTGCTTCCTTTTCTTTCGTGGCATCATGTACAGATGCTGAGCAACGCTCAGCTCCTGTCGGAGCAGCGTTCTAGAAGAAGAAGAAGAGCTCGTGAGGAAGACTGTTGCAGGGGCATGTTCACTTAGAACAGAGTTTTGGGGTAAGTAATCTATAGGTGTAGAAGGGTTAGAAGAGGATAATGTAGGCAACTGTTTAGGTTCCTACACTTCGCGCCACTGTTTCTGCCAACGCCTACATTTGCTAAAGGGAAAGTTTGGGCTAGGTGGTGTTCTTTAGGATACGGCATACCATTTTGTAAGGAGTTTAGTTAGTTGGGGCTGCCGTTGCCATAGACCGAAAACCTCCATCATTTTAATCATTTACCATGTATCCTTGCCATAGTAGCTTGGCTTAAGGTCCTTAAATGCAGCCCAATAGTTTTCTTCGGCAGGAAGTAACACAATGTGGACGGAAAGCTCTGATCTGCCAGGCCCTTGCCCCTGAAACTCTAAAATGAACACCTTGAAGGCTGGAACCGCATAAGCCCTGCACCCCCCAACCCTAAGCCAAACCCTGAAGCCCCATGCAACCCTTAGGATTCAGAGTTGGGGTTCAGGGGTTTAGGGTTCAGGGTTTAGGGTTTAGAGTTTAGAGTTTAGGGTGTAGGGTTCAGGGTTTAGGGTTTAGGGTTTAAGGCCCCGAAAACGCCTCAACCCTGACCCTTTAAAAACCTCCTACAGCCAGCAAAGAAAGACGAAGGCCGAACCAGCAGCTGAAGTTCGCGGATGTTCCCAACGGCCTCGCAGCCCTCTCCAAGGCCCGCAGACGTTTGGGTAAGTTTAAGAGGATATTTTTTTGTAAGAGGGTTTAAGTTAAGGATCATTTCAAGTCTATAGTGGTGTTAAGGGGGATTAGGGGTTTAGGTGAGCTTAAGAGTTTGAGGGGTTGGGGTAGGTTTAGGGTTGTAGCTCCGATGTGAAGGATTAAGCAACAAAGCAGATGGTCGGACGGTGGCCTGGTGACCAGATCATAGGAACCATAGGCTAAACTCCTTAAAGCGGGATTATCTAGGGGATTATATAGGGAACCACTATGGGGAATTTAAAGGTGGATACTACTGCAGGAGTTAGGACAATGGATCATAGTATCATTACTTGGAGGGTCAGGGGGACTTATTAAGTAGCATAATAATGGGGATTCCTGCGGTTACCAAGTGGTTGGTAGGCGTTATTCGCCTAGCGTCTATGTCCCCTGACCGTGCAAGTAGCTGGCACTTTCGGATACTGATTACTTTCCAGTGTTGTGGCATAAGAGACCCTACTCATGAATTCTTATGGGGGCCTTTGAAGTTCCCCCACATCAGCAAAAGTAGGAAGCTCTAAACCTTCAGCCAAAGTATATCGCTTGTCATACGGAATGGCAAATGTGACAGCAGCAGTTGCAAAGATCAACACTCCAAAGCCCTAAACCCTGAACCCTTACAACCTAATACCCTAACCCCAAACCCTAAACTCTAAATCAACCCTAATACCCAAACCCTAAACCCTAAACCCCAAGCCAACACCGACAGGTGCCTTTCCTCGGCTGGATCCAGATCATCGGCTTCTGCGGCATGGTGGACTTCGGCCTCTACAGGTCCGTCCGAGTTTTCAGGGTTTTCGGTTTAGGGGAATGGATCATGTTGGGATACTGGAAAAGAAGATGGAAGCTACTGTAATGGGGTTATATATGGTTTCGGGTTTATGGTTCAAGGGTTTGGGGGTTCATGGGTTTGAGGTGTAGGGTTTGGGGCTTGGGGGGGTTCAGGGTGTAAGGGTATTGCTGGGGTTTGGGTTTTTAGGGTGTGAGGCTTTTCGATTATGATTCTTACCCTGTGGATCTCCACATTATCCCATAGTAGCCCTTAGAATCAGCAAAACCATAGCCCGTACCTCAGCCCCTGACGCCGGCTTGGGACCCTCGAGCACATCGGCAAAATGAAGGCATGCTGCTAGCAATCTAGCCGTCTAGAATAATTTGAGCAAAGCCTTAGTGCTAATTGTAGAATGGTCATGGTATGAGGGCTGTAAGACGATGACGAGCTGAAGTTTTCAGCTTGCGTTCCATGAAAACACCATGTCCTATGCAAATTTAAGATCTCGTCAGGGGTGTATCTATACGGCTCCGTTCGTGCAACCGTTCTTGAGATTTCGTTGCAGTCCCCATGAGCTCTCCTGTCACAACCCGCACCCCAAAGCCAAACTTTGCTGCCATGATGGTCGTTTGATAAAATTTCTTAAGCCCTATAGACCCTCAATCCTGAATCTTGACCTTCCAATCCTATGACGAAGCTCGCTGTGTTGTCTAATAGGCACGCTTCGCCCTGAGTCACATTAAGCCCATGTTTACCTCGCGAGAAACCTTCATGAGCTTACGTACCAAACATCTTCCATGTTGTTTTTTTTGTTGTGTTCAGGGCGTGTGGTTGGAAACTTTGATGGGTGAGCTCGGGGCCAATCCTGACCCACAGTTGGTTTGCTTTGCCTACTCAGGTTCATGTCCCTCCAAGCCATGTGCACTGAACAACAAAGCAAACCTCTCCATCTGTAGGAGCTCACTTCTACACATTTCTGGCCATCAAACTAAGCTTTCATGAAGTCAATGGGGGAAGACGTGTCCATCGGTGCTTTTTCCCTCCTGTTGGGCATAGTTAGGCCGCATCTACTCATGCCTTTCTTCGGAATTGTGGCCTCTTGTCTCTTCCCTAAACCTTCGTCCTCAAACGATGGATTCTCCTACTACTCCCTCTATACTACAGGGGGGGGGGGGGG